ATCTAAAAATCTATGGAAATGGGGTGATACACTTTCTACACACAATGAGTCTTTCATAAGGATAAACAGGATATGAAAAACATTTAAAAACGATCTAAAGTTAACTACATTTAAATTGTACTCAGTGTATCTCTGGTATTATTTGATTATGTGTACGAATATTCAAATGACAAAAGGCAGACATCTTGAATTTTTTTCAGAATACCCAAAGATACACACATGCTACAGACCAGGTATACATCATAGGGGTAATAATAAATGAAATGAAAAAAATATATATTATTTTTAAAACAAACCCATGATAAGTAATTGTATAGTGAACCATATGCCTCTCTAGCAGCAATTGAAACCCACCCATTAGTATTCCTATGTCAAATTGAAGCCATCTTGGATTTTCTCAAAATATCCAAGGATGCACACTATTTACCTACCAGATATATATATATATATATATATATATATATATATATATATATATATATATATATATATATATATATATATATATATATATATATATATATATATATCATAGGACTAATAAAGATGAACAAAACTTGATGAGCAAACACAATTTCACCCTGGTAGTAGATGAAAAGCCATGGATGTGCAGTTGTAATTCCAGTAGTATTCCTATGGCCAATGACGACCATCTTGGATTTTCTCAAAATGATCTAATATGCACATTTATTACCTGCTAGATATGTATCACAGTGTAATAATAATGTGTAAAAAAGTGAAAAAATAACTGAATATGATAGTGAATTATGTTTTTCCTAGCTGGCATTAGTTCCAACCCCTATAATACTATAAGTATTCCAATGACATATGGCGGCCATCTTGGATTTTCTCAAAATGCCCAAGAATACATGTTAGTTACTCACCACATACATATTGTGTGGGCTGAAAGGATGTGGAAAACACTCAGAAACAAACTTAATTTGATAGTGGAAAATTAATCTTTTCAGTTGCCATTAGTTGAATCCCCCATATACTAGAATTCTTGTGGCACATGGCAGCCATCTTGGATTTTCCAAAATGCCCAAGAACACTTCGTAGTTACTCACCTCAAACATATTATGTGGGTAACAAAAATCTGAGAAACAGACTTAATTTGATAGTGGACAACGTATCTTTCTAGCTGGTATCAGTTGTGCACTAGTATTCCTATGGCTGTTTCTATGGCATATGACAGCCATCTTGAATTTTTTCAAAAAATCCGAGGGAACTTGTTTGCTATCTGACATTTAGGAATAAAATGGGTAATAAGGGTGTGGAAAACTCTGAGAAAATAATTTATTTGATAAAAATCAACATAGGTATGTACATATTTCTATAGAATTCCATAAATTGGCTGCCATTTTGGATTTTTTGACCAAACGGTAAACTGTTTGAGAGGGCTACGGCTCTAATTTGATTTAGAATGTCAAAAGGTAACTACATGCCAAATTTGGTGCTTTTATCCGCCGTGTCACGATTTTTTCCTTAAGCCACCGGACTATTATTAACGTCAGTTTTTTTAAGCGTGGTTTAGATGATTTCTAATTTAACCAATTAATTCAGAAATGCTATCCAGTTCAAATTCTTAAAATAATATTAGAAAGGGGTCGGAGGTCGCTTTTTGATTCTGAGAGTGCAGTTTTCAGAGACAAATCAGCTGCACCCAGACCAAATACCAAACTGGTATTAGAATTTTACTAAAGTCATTCGAATAGTGCAAGTCTGTCAAATCATCAATATTTAAGCTATTGTCTTCTCTTTCTGGTGTTAAAACAAAAACCTTAAAAATCTAAAAATTGGTAGACGTGGCTTTGCTTTTCAAGTTAATAAATTGGAAATCGTTTCGTAAGTAATGCTTAATTAAGTGAAATTCTGTAAAAGTGCATTACAAGTATACATAGGTATATAATGCTGATAAGCTGAAATAAACCTTTTATTTCATTTCTGTATTTGATACTTCTTTCGTGCTAGAAGCTGCTGCTAGCTAAAGGGTAAGCGTTAACCGCAATGTTTACGCCAGCTATCGTTTAGGGATATTCACTTCTATTGCGAAAGCGGCTCAAAATTTGAAAGCCAAGAACTCAAAGACGGGTTTGTAATGGAGGTCGTGTTTTATTGACGGTTTTGAATTTGGTGTACCTTGATGATTAAGAGTTTTCTCCAGAAAAATTAATTTTTTGCTGTATAAAGTTTTAGCACTCATTGTGGGGCTGTAAACGAGTCGCTGTAATTTCCAAGAAAAGAACTGCGTGCAACGGAAACTTTTATTTTCTTTGCCTTTAAATGTCCAAATTGCTGGAAGTTTAATCCTTGTGATCAATAACCACAGGATATCCGTGAGATAACAAAACGATTGCATAGTGCCAAATAAGCACTTTCTAACAGAGGTCTTCTCTTGCTGTAAACATATAGTTTACATTAGACGTCTTTCGTACAGTTTTGTAACAGCTACATGTAGCTAGAGAAACCTTTAGTAGAGCGTACAATATAAGCCTTTTACAGCAAAAGCTTTCAGCCACTCTTCAGATTTTGTGTTGTGGTATGATCTAATCACTGGAAAGGGGAAATAAAGGTAAATTCAACCGCAGTGGAGTGTTAGGTCTACTAAAACTAAAATTGACGTAAAGTAATTAATGGGCTAATAATGAAATTAACTTTGTAAGCTATTTCTGACTACACAATTTTGCACTAATTTCGAGACAAAACCTATTAGTATTCCATTATCCAATCAATTCTATGAGACCTCATGTTGGCACAGAACAGCCGGTTATCGAAATTCAATCGACAGACCTCTTTGTGACAGGAGATGAAATAAGAGCATCATATCATTTTTACGTATCACTTTTATTATATTTTGTAAGTTTAAGGAGAGATGGGAGTGTTCGAACGTCTGGAAATGACGGATGTTTTTATGATTTCTTTTTTTCTTCCTCTTTCATTTTTTTTTTTTTTTTTTGCAATAATATAGTTTTACCTCCATTATGGAGAGAAATCTAGATACAAACAGATACCTAGAAAAGCGGGCAAGGTCTACCGAAACCTGGCAAAGACTCCCTTCCAGGAAAACAGAGATACAAAGAAGCATTTGCCTAAAAGCAAACAATCGTAAGTGTACAATTTATGGTCCCAGTAGACCTTCAACCTTTTTCAATACTTCCATTTGCAAACAAAACTTGACTGCGCCAAAACGTAATGAAATATGTTGGCATGTGATATTCCATAGTTTAAAGTAGAGCTCCATGACATACCCAATATTGAAATGAGGAGTTCAATTCCAGTATTTCCGTTGCTCCTCAACGTTACTGTGAAGGAGCATCAGAGTAGAAATTACTTACGTCCAAAAGCATGGTTCTAATAATTGCTTGTTTTTCACAAAACGCAAATGAAACCAGCTTGATGAAAGAAAACATCCCATTATCCCTAGTGGAAAGAAAGATTTCATCTTACTTGCAAGATTTAAATACCATTTAGGAAATTGGTGCTTTTGTGCATTTTAATGTTAACCTATATATAGGTTTTGGGAAGCTTCCTTTTAAGTGCTTTTGTCCGTTTCTTAAAAGGAAAGCAGGAAAACAATGTTAATAGCTCCCGTGACCTTGTCTTCTTTTTTAAAGATCAAAGACGGTTGGAATCCAAAAGGAACAAAAATTCACAATGATGGCAATTTGTTTTGCACACTAAAACCGCCAAGCATTTGCAACAAGCAAATAAATACATCCAATGAACAACTAGGAAAAGGACTAAGTACATCACAGAGAGAGGAAAAAAACAAGGAAATTGATTGCAACAAGTTTGAAATCCTCCCAAACCAACAAAATACATGCTCTACCGTAATGCTGCAATCAATTTTCGTTCGGTCGTTTCCTTGTCCTTAATGGTGTAGCATGTCACTTATCGTGTTCAGTTTGAAAGGCAAAGTCCAGTTAATTGCATTTATTTTTGGGGTTTTGAAATTTGTTCCGGTGGAGCATAAATGACTTCTGTTTGTGGTGACTGGTGGGAGAAAGCTACGTGTACCCCCAGGGAGATAGGTCGATCCAGATGGATCGATCCAAATCTGTGGGAATGCGGTGTAAGGGACCATTCCCATAGATATTTGTATCGTTCTATATCCCTGGGAAGTCTCACTAAATTGCTGCCAATTTGACCGGCTTCATTGTCGCCTACTAAAGCTGTTAGGGGGTAATTATCTTTATCCCCTAGCTGATTTGGTAGGCGTGACAGACATTTAAGCCGGTCAGTTGATAACAATTTAGTGAAACTCCCCAGGGAGTTAGATCGATCCAGATGGATCAATCTATGTATAGGAACCAAGTTTAATAGTAAATAAATTCGTTGAAACTAAAGACCATTCATTATACGCAACAAATCTATAATACGCAGTAAGCACATTTTCCACATTATTTTCTTGAATAGTGCCCCTTAAAACAAGCGAGGAAATAAAAGAGGACAAACCCTATTCCAAGATTGCCATATTGAATTGGGAAATCAGCAGAATTTCTATTTAAAGTAGTCGAAAGTTAGGGACCATTCCCACAGATATTTGGATCGATCTATCTCCCTGTGGAGTCTCACTAAATTGCTATCAACTTAACCACCTTAAATGTCTGTCATGCCTAGTAAAGCTGTTAGGGGGTAATTATCTTTACCCCCTAGCTGATTTGGTAGGCGTGACAGACATTTAAACCGGTTAAGTTGATAGCAATATAGTGAGACTCCCCAGGGGTTTAGACCGATCCAGATGGATCGGTCTAGGCATGGAATCCAGTCTTATTAACCCAGTTAGAGCGATCCAGCTGGCATGATGGGTTTATGGGAACATAGTCTTACACTCAGAACAGTCTACTGAGTTAGACAGCTTAAGATGTTTCAGTGTACGCTTTAAAGTATTTTTTAAACATCCATCAAGCATTTACAGAAAAGCGATGAAAATATGCCTTCAACAATCTGTCATCCCAACTGATATCATATTTGTAGGAGAAAAAACTGTGCTGACAGGATTACGAAATGATACATGATTTATTTAGAAACTTTTGCTTCTACAAAAATACAACCACATTAAAGTGAATTTCTAAAGGCCATGAATCAGGATTTTAAAAACTAGACAATTAATCTTTACAGATTCCATACATCTTCCTAAAAGTACCATGTACATAGAAGCAGGTCTTACTGTAATCCAATACTTTTTGCGATTTCCTCTCTTCTTACAAAAATCATAATTATCTGGCAACCACATCCCTGGTTTTCTAAAAAAAAAATCACGGTAACTGGCTGTCACGTCCAAGACATCAAGGCAGAGCTGTCACGTCCAAGACATCAAGGCAGAAAATGTATTCACTTTTTGTATAGTAGTAACTATTTATTTATTTATTTAAAAAAAAATTATTTATTTTTTGGCATAGGGTTCCCCAAGGCCCAAAACTGCCAGTCTATTCTCTATCGACTATGTGACACTACTGTCCTGTAGTGCTATACTGCTGGTCAAATGTTCTCTGACTGCAGTGTCCAGTATAGAGTGGACATCCTTACACCCCTGAGTGGCCATGTCCATTACTTTACTGAGATTGTCCTCGTGCAATCTAGAATTCATCTGTAGGAGTACAATCTGCTCTGACTTGGGCAACATGGCCATGATGAGCTCGGCACTTCCCGATGACTCCTCCAAATAGTTAATGTCTACTACTGGGTTATCTTCTATGTAGCTGGCAGAGCAGGCGCAAACATAGTCTTTCATAGGAATGCCGGCGTCTATGATGGCTAGAGTGGCAGCGTTGACACTGGCGCAGTAGTTCCCACCATCAGACTGGAGAACCTGAAGCAATGACGGTATTGTGTTAGGTGTGCTGGGTGAGCATTTGGGGTATGTGCAAGTGTCTGAGCAACAAAGAAAGCCAGCAGCTGTGTTAGGCACTCTTAGTTACAATTATAATATTTTTGTCAAATGGCTTTACTCATAGAATTATTAACAGTACAACGGTTTTAGTATTATAGCCTCACTCCCTGATGAAGGTGTCTTGTTACACAGTAAAATATTGAGCAGTCATTACTCAAACTAAACTGTCATTTGAAGAAACAGGTTTTTGTAACTTTGAGTACAATTCATAAGAATAAGTGTTAGAGCATCCACTTTCAATTTAAAAGCCAAAAATTCTAGTTATGTAGTTTGCTCTTATCTGAACATGGCTAGTATAATGTATTTTCAGGTGTATTTCAAAGTGACAAACCAAAGCATTAAAATATCAGCTGTCACAAAATCTTGTAAAATATGAAATACCTTTAATTATTGTGTCTTGTGTAATGATGGTAAAAGTAAAATCATTTGTAAATTTGTTGAAAGGTAAAAACAGGATGCCCTGTAGGTAGATACCCATTAAATGTCTTTAGAAACAGTGTACTATTTTGCCTATATTTTTCTTTGTCTTGCATTTTCTATTATAATGGTCCTACTTACCTCAACAAAAATATCAATTTGAGACCTGGGATACAGATGTGTTAGTACAGCAGCCTCAAATGTCTGCTGTAGGTGTTTTGTCATCTCCTGTGACTTCCTGTCTCCCCGCGGCCTCCTCTTTCTCTCCCCCGTACTAAATGTGGCCATGCTGTACTGACAGTTGATCAGCACCTTGTCTGGTTGCATCTTCCCTCTGCTGCCTCGGATCTGCAAAGGTTATTATGATAATGATATACATAGTAAAATATATTATATATGATTAAATAATCCATGTAACATTGTATGACTACAATGTCAATAATTAATTTCTTGCCGCAAGAAGTAATTAGATTTTAAATTTAACTATAAGAGGATAAATTCAAAACAATAAAAAATAGACAATAAAATAAACTGTAAATAATGAATAGGCTGCTCTAATAAATTGATAAAATAGCAGTACTAAAATCAATCAGTATATATATAATCAACTTATTATTATTATTAATAATAATATTATTATTATACAGATACGTTTGTGTATTAAATCATGAATTGCGTTTCTGTTAGGGAAGTTTAATAGTTTCAGTTTGGAATGCATAACTGAAATCTAAAATGTTATCCATAATAATACATTAAAGCCTGGAATACTATCTCTGTGCATTTTAAATGGAAGTGGGACTTTCAAATTCAAGAATGAGAATGAAGCACCTCATGTGGACCGTAAACAGCCGCTAAAACTTTAGTGTTCCCTTGTTCCACGTACGCAGATCCCTCTGCCTGACCGAACACCCCCATGCGACACTGTATTCTTCGCAATTCATGCGGCCGACGGCCGTCTATGCGGAAACCCTGATCAGAAAGCAACTCCAGACCGGCCATGCTGCTTCCTGCTCTCGTGAAATCTCGGGTTTGACCTTGTTACCGACGTGAGTTAATCGTCATGCACAAAATATGCATAAATCAAAATTGCAAGCTTTCTGTTCTATTTTGAACACATGATACTATTTTGCATATTATACAAATTGCTTTTTCATTGACGAACTTAAATTATACTTACACATGATCGCCTGTTTATTTAGTGGCTTATCTTGGTTGACCCCAAAATCTTAATCCTGATTGAGGTCGCATGTGTAACCTGTACCTAGTAAACAAACAGGTGGAGCGTGACCGACAACTTTGCAAAATCCTAAATCCACTTCGTCGAAAAGCTTGGAACTCGCCCGTAGATCATGGCGAAGATGGATCTCAACGATCTAAGCGATGAGAAGTTTGAATTTGCGATCGACAGAGGCGGGACTTTCACCGACGTTTGGGCAAGATGTCCAGGTGGGAAAATTGTGGAAATGAAATTGTTGTCGGAGGACCCGTCCAACTACAGCGATGCTCCTCGAGAAGGCATTAGGCGGATACTGGAACAGGTAGGACGGGGAGCTATCATGTCTTGCCAGATGGACAGTATTGCGCCTAGCTTTTCCACCCTTAATACCGGTAGCATCAAAGTGAAATCCAAACTGCAGATATTATAATTTATATAATCTATTTATTAATATGAGCAGTGGAAGGGATATTTAATACATATCTCAATACAAAAGTACAGGTATGCTGAGCTGCAGTACAGTGAGGACCTAAGACTTGGGCGTTTTCTGGATGTCAGGTTCAGCTGTGCAGGTGGCATAAATAATTGAAGTTAACCTTTAGATGACCGCTTTATAATTCTATTCTTGGCTCAGCCACATACCAGTATGTATGTAATGTGATATGCATGTGGTTTTGATATATTGTATTATGTTATGTTTAACTGCAAATTTTAGTATTAGTTTGAACACAGTCATAGAGCATATATAGAACAGAAGCAGGCTACATTTTTTCTAAAGCTTTTCAGACATTTTGTTTGAAATAATTTGCTTTTGAAAATGCATTTGTTAAAATTAAATATTATTATTAATATACCCAGTGCAAAGATAATGACAATTAGAAGTTAATAGATCCAGGAATTAATGGATACAAAAGAATAACAAAAAAGATTATTAGTAATTATGAAAGAAATAGGAAGAAAGAGATAAATCAGCTGTTTTAACAGTCTCAGTTACTGCATATAAAATTAATGTTGTGCTCACCTTTCAGGAAACAGGAATAGAGATGCCTATAGACCAGCCTGTAGAGTCTTCTATCATAGAATGGATCAGAATGGGGACCACTGTGGCCACAAATGCTCTCCTAGAGCGTAAGGGGGAGCGTATTGCACTGGTGGTGACAAAGGGCTTCAAAGATATCCTGCACATTGGCAATCAAGCTAGACCAAAGATATTTGATTTGGTATGTGCCATATATGTATGGAATAAATGTACTATTCAGGGTTCAACTTGATTCAGATGAAAATAAAACTTCTACAAATAAAGAAAAATTTATAGTTATTGGCCAGTGTGATATTATTTGACAATGAGTTTGTGACATTTTATTATTGAATAAATAAATTTAAATAAATTGCAAGAACATAAGTAATGGTCAGTCACTATAAAACAAACAAGTTAAATATGACTAACATATCTGGACTTACCAAAGTATAAAAGTTAATTTTTAGATATATATTTAAAGACATAAGGTTTTTAAAATGGATGAGAATCAGAAAAATTTTAAAAAAATGTATTTTAAGTTGTTTGTAAATTTCAGGAAATTGTAACCCCAGAGGTCCTGTATGAGACAGTTATTGAGGTTGAGGAGAGAGTCGTGCTACACAACGAGAAATGTGAACTCGGAAAGAAATGTGAAAAAGTCCAAGGAACCACAGGAGAACAGGTATCTCATATAAATTTTTAAAAGTAGATATTAAACGGATTCATATGATGTATTTATATTTTTGTCTAATTTATTTTCTTTTTTCTTTTTTTTTTTAAGATTGACTACATGTTCGTTTTATATTTTCAGTTTGAAATCTGGCAGCCTATCAATATAGAGAGATTGAAAGAAGACTTGAAAGTAGTTTATGACATGGGGATTAGGAGCCTTGCTGTAGTTTTGATGCATGCTTATTCGTAGGTGTTAACTTTCATTGTTATTAGTAAAAGTTACAATTATAACACGAAGGACTTCAGAATATTTATCAAATATTGAAATCATAACTGAAGAGTATTAAATAAATATAATCATTTGATTTTTATAAATAAATTTAATATGATGAAAGATTTTTTATCTGTATTTCTCATTTGTCTAATAAAGAATGATTTGACTCATTTCATAAAGATGCATAGAATTACAAATTAAAGCTTATAGTCTTTTGTCTATAAGTTTATTGGTTTAGGTTATTTGTGTGAAAAAATGTTAAATCATAGTTGGGTGATACTACAGCCGACTCTTAGGGACTAGAAAATAATTTGTTCAAATTATGCAAAGATTTACTTTCTTTTCTACCAGTAAACACATTTGCTACCAGTAAGCAATTATTCAAGTTATAAGATAAAGAGCTCTTCAGAGCCAACTATATTCAAACTCAGGTTATTGACCATAGCTCTCTATCCTTGTTCAGGCTTGGCGACCATGAGCGTGAGGTGGGACAACTGGCCAAGGAGATGGGTTTTACCCAGGTGTCTCTGTCCTCAGATGTCATGCCTATGGTCAGGATGGTACCCAGGGGCTATACAGGTCAGTGTAATAATGTCTCAGGGGGTGTACAGGTCAGTTTTATACTGTCCCTGGGGATATACAGGTCAGTGTTATACTGTCCCAGGGGGCATACGGGTCAGTTTTATACTGTCCCAGGGGGCATACAGGTCAGTGTTATACTGTCCCAGGGGGCATACAGGTCAGTGTTATAC